AGAAGTATATAAGATGCATCTGGACATTGCACTGGAGGATATGGTTTAGGGTTTAGGGGTTACAGCAGTGACAGGCTGATGGTTGGACTTGATGATCTTAGAGGTCTCCTCCAGCCTTTGTTCTCGGATTCTACCTCCTGCACCTAAAACCACAACCCAAAGCACATGTTCATTTCCTGGAGTTCAATTTCGTTCTTGCAACGCTTGGAGCCATCAAAAACAAAGAGAAACCATCCAAAACAAAGCAGATCTCCTGCAAACCTCTCCCCAGTGAGGCCCAGCAAGGAAAAAGCTGGAGTTAGGTTGTGAAGCAAGAGTTTATTGCAATGCTTAGGGACAGAGGCAGAAATTACACCATTACATTGAAGGCATTAAATCAGCATGGAATAGGGTGATAGGAGATATTTTAGAGGGGGAAGGGCAGGGTAATACCCCTCATACAAACCCCATGTGTCCCTCACATTAACCCCATGTGTCCCTTACACTAACCCCATGTGTCCCTCACACATAGAATCATAGTATGTCAAAGGGTTGGAATGGAGCTTAGAGATCATCCAGTGCCAACCCCCTGCCCTGGGCAGGGACACCTCCCACCAGAACAGGTTGCTCAAAGCTTTAGCCAACCTGGCTTTGAACACTGCCAGGGTTGGGGCAGCCACAGCCTCCCTGGGCAACCTGTGCCAGTGTCTCACCACCCTCACAAGGAAAACTTCTCCCTGATACCTAACCTAAATTTCCCTCTCTCAATTTCTCCCCATTGCCCCTTGTCCTGTCACTGCAGTTCCTAACACAGTTCCTCTGCAGCTTCCCTGGAGCCCCTTCATATCCTGGCAGGTTGCTCTGAGGTCTCCACACAACCTTCTCTTCTCCAGGCTGAACAGCCCCAACTCTCTCAGCCTGTCTTCATAGGGAAGATGCTCCAAACTTCTTATCAACTTCATGGCCTCCTCTGGACTTGCTCCAACAGTTCCACATCTTTCTTACACCAACCCCACATGCCCCTCACACCAACCCCATGTGTCCCTCACACCAATCCCATGTGTCCCTCACACCAACACCACATGTCTCTCACACATAGAATCATAGAATTTTAGGGGTTAGAATGGACCTTAGAGATGATCCAGTCCCAACCCCCTGCCCTGGGCAGGGACACCTACCACCAGACCATGTTCCTCAAGGCACATGGGGATGGATGGTGCTTCCATCCCAGGGCAGCACATGGATTTTGCTCATGGATTTTGCTCCATCAGAGCAACCATCTGCCTGTACATGCGCTGAGGAGCATCCAGGCCCCAGTAGTGGTCAAAGTGGTTCCAGTCAGGGAAGTGCTGGTGATGAACAATGTTGGTGATGAGGGGGAGAAGGCGACGAACCTCCCGAGGGGGATTCACCCAGTCCTGCCCACCACTCCACAGGGCTGTGGGCACCGTCATGTCTTCTACCCTGTAGAAGGGTGGAGAGGACTGGGAGGGGAGAAACATGCTGGTTATTTGCAGGTCTGACACTACCAGCATTCATGGATGAGGTGAGCTGCCCCTGGAAGCCCAGAGAAGCCACTGAAGGAGGCAACATTCTGGTCCAAGGCAACTTCATCTTCTTCTCCTCTTTCCAGAAGTGTCCACTTACCTGATTGTACTTCTCCTGGTTCTTCAGCCTATAGTCAAACTGCTTGAACTCACCAGTTTTGGCAGTCTGGAAGGCAGAGACAAAAAGTAAACCCCATGCCGGTCATGCCCTGGGTCAGCCCCACCTGGGCAGATGTGGCTTTTGAGACTTCTTACTGCAGCAACTTCCAAATCCCTTTTATTGGCTTTGGCTGGCTCTACCTCCTTACCTGTCTCCAAGGGGAATGAAGCAGCATTTTATAACATCATACTCACAGGCTGTAGGAGAGAGAAAATCAGAGTCTCTACCTGACCCCAGTGGAGAAGAGTTTTGACTGATGTGTAGTCTGGAAAATGAGCTAGGTACACATCCAGGCGACTCTGCAGGGGGGAAAAGGCATTTTCTCAGTGAGTTGAGGAGGACGAAATTCTGTCTAGATAAAAAAATCAAACCCATTTCTGTCTTCTAACCTCATAAAAAAAGTTCTACTCTGTTTTTCTGTGAGGGTGGTGAGACACTGGCACAGGTTGCCCAGGGAGGCTGTGGCTGCCCCAACCCTGGCAGTGTTCAAAGCCAGGTTGGCTAAAGCCTTGAGCAACCTGTTCTGGTGGGAGGTGTTCTTGCTCAGGGCAGGGGTTTGAGACTGGATAATCTCTCATCTCCATTCCAGTCCCTAAAATTCTATGACTCTATGCTCCAGCAGCCTCATTGTGCTTACAGCTAGGAGTAGATTCCAAGGTAAATAAGTTAACAAAACCTTTAGAATAGAAATACAGCTAGACCAGTCAATTTTTTGCTAGTTTTGTTCTGTAAAGTCACTGTGGCTCAGCACAAAACGAGGCAGGAGTTACCTTCCCTTTGCATACAAGACCACAAGAGATTCTCTCTTACCAAAGACTCCACTAGGTCCGACACCCAACAGCACTGCAAGACATCTCCAAACAACTGCTGCCTTTCACACCTAACTTGAGGAATTTATGCTCAATTTTGTATCTCATTAACTATCTTCAGGTGTCTAGGAAAAATGAAGATAGAATCATCAAGTTTGGAGGAGACCTCTAGGATCATCAAATCCAACCATTAACCTGTCACTGCTGGAAGCCCTAAATCCTAAACTATATCCTCCAGTGCCACATCCAGATGCCTCTTAAACACCTCCAGGGATGGTGACTCCACCACCTCCCTGTCCAACCTATTCCACAGATGGATGTGACCTGCAGAGCCTGATGCACCCACCACATTCAGGTTCTCCCTGTTGTATCCACCAGCGAGGAAGATCTCATTTTCACAGACTTCAGCTCTTAGTAGGTTGCTACAGAACTGAGCAAAGCTGGCTCTCTCCTTCCTCTCCACTGGAGCCAGCTCTTTGGTTCCCAATATTTTCTGCAAGAGCACAAGGAAATGTTAGGAATGAAGGTAGGGGTGAGAGGATGTTATGCGTCAGATGATGTCAGGAGTGAGATGATGTTAGGGGTCAGATGATGTTAGGGGTCAGATGATGTTAGGGGTAGGATGATGTTAGGAGTGATGTTAGGATCTCCAACAGCCACCACAGGCGTGGGATCAGTGCTCAGGACACGACTCTCCAAAAGTTCTGGATTTTGGGAGTAATAACACACAAACAGCTCATGTACCGTCAGCACAATGTCTGGTAGAAATGCCAGCTTCAACACGGGCCCCCTGGCATGGCGTAAGGTGTAGAAAGGAGACAGAGCGAAGAAGAGTTTGATTTTTTCACCCAGGTGTGGAAGGCTTGAAAAGGCTATGAAACCTGAAAGGCAGCAAGAGATCGCAACAATAACCCCAGCTCAGCCCAGACCTTGTGTTTCAGAAGGAAGGTTTGGGCAGAACGTGCTCCTGCATATAGGCACAGCCCAGGATAGATGGACAACATGTGGTAAATCTCTTCCATGCTGAAGGACCAAGAGGGCAGGCAGGGAAAGTGGCTGCATGGGCCACTGTAGTCCTGACCCAGCAGGCTGCAGTTTGGGACAGACATTAGAAACATCAAGGTTGGAGGAGACATCTAAGATCAGCAAGTCCAACCATTAACCTGTCACTGCTGGAACCCCTAAACCATATCATTCAGTGCCAGATCTGGATGCCTCCTAAACACCTCCAGGGATGGTGAATCCACCAGCTCTCTTGGAAATATTCCAGTGCCTCAACACCCTCACAGGGAAAACATTTCTCCTGACATCTCCTCTGACTCTGCCCTGTCTCAGCTCAAGGCCATTCCCTCTAGTCCTCTCCCTGCAGCCATGGCAGGACAGACCATCCCCCACCTC